TTGATTGCTATGATATTTTATTTTGGTGCAAACTTTTATTGCTCTGACTTAATGAAAGAGTGGGTTCATGAATACTCTGGGGAACAAATTTACTTTTTTCATATTAAATAAACTCCATTAAAAGTGATCTCTGCAGAGGAAAAGGACCGTGCTATTGCTTTCTTCTCACTCTATTTATAACAGATAGATGCAATCAACACACTCCTCTAATTAGGAGGAAGGAGCTCAGGTTTCAAAGCAAAGGATACTGCTCTTAATTATAGCAGTCCCCTAGCTAATTAGTATATTACTGTGGATAGTTTCCATGAAAACAAAAACACATTTAAATATTGTTTCCAGGTACAGTCCAGGGTAGGGTTTGAATAAAACTTCAAACAAACTCAAATCAAACTCTAAATCTTAAAAATAATAAATAGAAAAAAGATGAATTGGACTCAACAGTAACATTATTAATTAATTATTTAAAAAAGTAACATTAGCAGAGCCCAAGTGCAAAATGTTGTTCTTAATCTGACAAAAAGCATTAGTCCATAGTCAGTCTAATATTACATTAACATGCTAGCATGTTTGAATATCACCCCTTAGCTCGGGCACAACACTGTTTTGAGTCAGCTCCATGCAGCTAATGCCTATTCACGCTGACTCATGCCCACTTTATTACGCAGCTAAAGGAGAAATAAAAATAGCCAAGGTCAGACAACATCCTGGACCAGACAGCTATGAGGAAATGTTAGGACCACTCTACTCTTCTAACCTCTAGTTTCACTCCATTCTCCTCTTTATTCCTCTGATCTCAAAAACTTTAGTATCCCTGTTAACTGGTCCTCTGCAGCTGGTCTGAAATGTCATCCACCCTGGTCATTTGAGAACTGGTCCTCAGGCCAAGGTCAGGACCTCTTCCTGGCGAGGAGAGAAACACATCAATGCCATTTCCCCTTCAGGGAAGAAAATTCCTTTTGGATTTTCAGTTACTCAAACCCTTTAAGGCCATCACTTGCCTCAAATTTTTTAACTAAAGTCAACTTGTTTGGATTAATAGTGTACATTTGTGTACAAACATCATTGTGTTTTCAGGTTGTCCATCCGGCCGTCGGCGTTATAGCGGCAATGATGTAAACATAATGCATTGTGGGTGATATCCACCTCGGAGTGACCATCGTTATTCACTCGCTCCCTCAGGCCTCCGAGGGTCCATCTCACCAAGTTCACTTCAGTTTTCCAGACAATTGGAACAACACTTATGATGGCGGCGGGAATTCCCCCGAGGGCAAGTGAACGAGGGCATGTTGAACGACTAATGAAATGCAGCGTTGGTCTCCTGCTGCCACTTTCACACCTGTGACTAATCCACTAATCAAGACTCTGCACTATATCTACCCCTGCTCTTCACTTCACTCTTCCCCAGATCGGTCAGGTTGTCATCTTGGTCCAAGCACTACGGACAAAGTCTTTGAAATTCCTTGTGTAGCAACACAAGGTATTTGCCTCATGTTGTACTTCAGGTTCATTCCTTCCTGAGATCTTGGTCTGTCTGTCTGCCTCATCCAGTGTCTGTCTACCTGCTGCCAGCTCCACTATGACATTCTGGCTCTACTCACTCAACCTCTTCACTCACTTTTTCTCAGTAAAACCCGCTGTGAACCTTTGCAAGCTCTCATCTGAGCACTGCTTTTGGGTTCTGAAGATTATAAAACTGCAAAAGAGAGGAAAGTTGGCGAAAGATATATATGGCCCAGTGATATCTGGTCTCTCAATATATCTCTAAATGTGTTAACCACAGGCTTAACCCCTTGCATCAAAAAATGAGTCTAATCTCATACTTGGCTATGTGCGTCATTTAATACACTAAGCAGGCAACTGTGGCTTTGTGTGTGGGACTGTTGATGGCAGTGATGAGGGTTGCTGTGCAGTCACAGTACTTTTCCACTCACTACCGGGCTGCACGTGTGTAAGTGCCTGTGTGAAAGAAAGTACAGCTGTGCCTGCTATAGCTTATCAGCCAAACAGAAGGCCAAAACAAAAAGACTTGAACTTCAGAGGCAGGATTCCACAGAACTTTATGACCATGAATTAGCCAGTATTATGTAGCAGTTAGTCATGTGTATCTGTTAAGAGGGGACAGTCTTGCCCACACTGGCACCTCACATTATGCTTGATATAGCTCCCATAAAATCTGAAGCAAAGGCAGAAGTGTGGCTGAGTGAGGGTATGTTGCTCCCCTCGGTGTCATGTACTGAGTCATCATAACAGGTCCTGCAGGGCATCTCTGAACATGTACACAACAAGATTTATCATACATACACACAGACTGCAATGGATCATTCATGAGCCAAGTATGAGTCTGGCAGTCACCACTTCCTTTTGTTTAAAGCAAAACCTGCACATACTTGGTGGTGAATAGATTTGAATCAGTCATAAGGTTTATTATCAGATTTCCGAGAACTCAACTTCTAGACTAGCTTACTTCTGGTTTACGGATGTAATCTAGATATGATTTGCTCAATATGTTTTATATAGCTTCACCTGTAAGCAAACAGGAGTCCTAGGGTTTTTTATGAAGACAATAGACCGCTCCACACAATAGAAAACTGATACTGCTCCTTCTCTACACACTATCATGTACATATTTACTGTACACACAAGCTAACACACCTCTGTTGCCCAGAGCTCAGATGTTTGTTGATGATACACAGGTCTGATGAGAATCAGTCCAGCATACTGGTTCTCAAGAACCCCCTTTATTACAGGAGTAGGTTATAACATGTGGCTCTTTAGCCCCTCTATAGTGGCTCCTTGTGGCTTTGACAAACAGTTATATGGAAATGAGTAACTTCCCAACTTCCCATAAGTAATTTCCCAACTTGACCCTGAAGCTGTAAAGATCTACTTTATGATGACTGGGGCCCAGTTTGTGAGACAGACATCATGCCATAGTGAATAATAAGTATGTAATAGCTGTTTAAATTAATACTTTTTGTAATTCATTACTTCTGGTTTTACCTATTGGATGATTTTGTCTCTGTTCTGTTGCCACTCTCACTCAATGAGCAATGAGCAGCATGTATTATCACAGAAATGTGTCCTCAATGTATATTGACCGAACATTTGATCTGTTGAACTGAGACACATTTTGATTCCAAGTGGAGACAGGCCTGTGAAAACAAGAGAATCCTTAGCCACCTTCAGGCCAGACCTTATTAGATTTGCTGTGTTTGCAAAATGGCAACTTTATGACTACAAAGAGTCACAGGTTGGGTTTGAAAAGAATGAATGTAGCTGAATTGTTGTTCATGCAATATACTGTCACCTGCAGTTGGTCAGCATTGCCATATTACAGGCTGCTTTCTATTATAAAGTAAAATAAAACACTCCATTCTGCTAATTGCATGATGCACGCTGCTGTGCTTGTGGTTCTCTGGTTATTAAATGGATAAAACCTCCAACGGTTATCCAGAATGTGCCTTGTATGGCCAGATCAACCTGCTAGGACAGCCTGAGGCACACCCCACCCGATTTGTACTGTGTTCTTCTGCTGGAATATTCCACTGTCCCAGATGTGTGGTTTTAACTGAATCCCAATTATTGTTAGTGGCATTTGTAATTAACCTGTTTCTCTACTCCTTTTGATTTAGAAAATCTTTTTTAAGTAATTTTTTAAATGGTCACAAATAAAATAATGTTCTTAAAACAAACATCTGCCTTACACAGCATTTGCATAATAATTTGCAAAGAGGCCCTCCTACCTCCCCACAGGGCCTTGTAAACCACATGCCATTTCCACAGTAAAATCCTCCCTCCTTTAACCCATTATGACTAACTAAAGTTGGTATGTTAAGGAAATTCTCCACTGACTTAGAGGTGGGGACACACAACTGTCAAGACATGTAGCTACATTAAAATTTTGTCACCCTGAAAAATCTAATATTTCTCTGTATAATGTGACCTGTGATGTATTTATTCAAGCCAGTTCATTTATTAAAACCAGTTTGTAGGTGTATTGGTGAATGAAGTGACAGTGCAGACTCAGGGAGGTCAGAAAGAGAACAGTGTGTGAGTGTGTTCCTCTGATATATGTCACTCACTGCTGAAAATACAGACCACAATGAAAAAATTAGGGAAAGAGCTTTATTGGTCATGATTGAAGGCTCTGTGTTGCAAGAAATTAAACTTTGAGGTCATATTCAGCTTTGAACTATAACTAGACCACCATACATCACACCGGAAACCACGTTTGTCGTTGATATCATAATTTGTATTTGAAGGATACGGTCTGCGGTACGACTTGTGGCCGGTTAGCTCAGTTGGTTAGAGCGTGGTGCTAATAACGCCAAGGTCGCGGGTTCGATCCCCGTACGGGCCAATATACATTTTGTGAGTTTAAGGGTAATTAGTCCGACAATCTTGAAGTTACTCATCAGCCTTGAAGCTTTCATTACTTTCTCACAATATGTACCGTAATATAAAGTTAACTATCAAATAACTAATAAATTTGTCGATAATAGAAATAGAAACGGAAATAGTGTAATCAATTTCTCAATAAGGAAATAATTTATATCTATAGTATTTTCAGTAGTTCATCAATATGATAATAAACAGTCCGTCTCATAAATACATGTAACACCGTGAGCCTGATTGTATTACTGAATAGTACATGAAACAAATATTCAAATATCATTAACCGGAGGTTCCATGGTGTAATGGTTAGCACTCTGGACTCTGAATCCAGCGATCCGAGTTCAAATCTCGGTGGAACCTGAGTTTTATATCAGCGATGTAAGATTGTATTCCTTCACACATATCTCTAATCTGTCCTTACGCATTTTACCAAATGATAGCAACTGAATTATTGTATACACAACTCTGAGGTCTCAGAGTAATATTTGCCATTCCAGCCACAACAATAATAAACACAACATACATAAAACCAAAAACGTCTGCATGCTTACAATATTTTCAAAGATGTGATTGTTGTTGAATTTCAACCAGAAAACGTACAAAAATAAAGATTCATATATTTTCTTCTTTATTTCGATTCACAATCAGCACCACAGATCACATTTTTCCTTACAAAAATATACCACTGTGCAAACTGAAACGTAAACGTCTGATATACACCTAACAGCTGTTGGGAATATTCATTTTAATCATACCCATCACAAACCTTTTAGAGCCTTTTTGTTGTTAAAAAAATATCTTACAAATCATTTTCCATTCTTTTGTAAGCAGTCTGTTTCTAAATGGATGCAAGTGGCTACAAACAAGAAGTAAACTTGAGTGTATACAGTAAGTGTCTGTACTGTAACATCTATTTCATCCAGTTCTCAGCTATAGCAGGTAGGAATCATTTCAGCCAAGACAGGAGTCTTTATCATGAAGAGATGCTGCAGTCTCTGGCACTGAGTATGAAGATCTCTGACTGCTGTGAGATAAAGTAGATCCTTTTTATTTTTTCTGTCTTTTCTTTGATGCTGCTGCCCTCTTCTGGTGGGAACTTGGTCCTGTATTTCTGAGAGGAAGAAAAATATAAAAAAAAATTTAAAAAACCCACAATATTCTTTGTGTGCATACCTCCTCAGTTGCTAAATACAATCTCCTACACATAGAAGAGCCAACTGGTGCACCTACTTTGGAGTTTTGTCTGGTGTCTCCGGATGAAGTATGACCACCTCCTCCTCTTCACTGTCAGATATCTCAACCACATCTCCTGCAAACAGAATAAAATTCCCAATTTATGTTTTTACTCAAAATAAAGCACATCATTTATTACCTAAAGTAACAGTGATGCTTATTGCATCACTTCTGTCAAAGTTCTCTTTCAAACTACTTTTATAGGTGTTGTTGCTCATTTTCTGATTATTATTATATATATTAAGAACATTAAATAACCTCCTCTGCTCTCCTCCTTTTCATGTTGTTCCTCCTCCATCTTTGTTACTTTTTCCTCCTGTTCTTCACCACTGTTGTCATTTTCTTCCTCCTCTTCATCCTCCTCCTCCAGCCCCCAGGAGTTCTGCAGCCCCTGCCCTACCTGACCCACACCTGGGACGGGCACCACTGGGGAAGGCACTCTGGCAGGTGTGGTTAAGGAGCCACAGTGGATATAATACGTCAAAGTGAAAGACAGAAAAGGGACAGACACATTTTGTAGGTATTCAGGGTCAGTAAAGGATACGTCTGAGGCGGGGCCTCGGCTCTCTGAATGATGTCACTGGCTCTATCCGTCACATCTGTCATCTCCACTGGAGTCTCGTCCATTTTCAGTGCTGTGATTCGCTCTTGAGGCATAGACTCCGCAAAACCGCACCTACCACCCGCCTTCCTGAAAAAATGATAATACAGAGTTCGTACATACGTTCTGATGACAAAACTAGAAGTTGAAATTGTGGTTCATTTCCACTTCCGCCGTTTAATACTGAAGTGTGGGAATGTGACGTTACTGCTCACCTTGCTTTCTTGTCGTTCTCCAGGGCTTTGCTGATGAGTTCTGTGATTTCAGACACTTTGACACTGGCTATTTTACTGCATCTCATAACCTTCAACAGCACACACACAAGAAATACATTGGTGGTATTTTTATCATGTGAATACGTTTTTGTGGCGAGCAGCTTTCCCTGCATATATGGACGATTGTGACTTATGTGACATCATTTTTAATACAACTGATCTTGATAGCTGCAAAAGCAAGTGCAACATTATCTAGACTCCATTCACCTGCTCTTTTAGCAACATGATGCCCCCGCTAGACTGGATGGAGCAAATTTCTCTGTGTTTGTTCATGGCAATCATCAGCAAGCCGTCCATCACCCGCTCCTCCCGCTCACAGGGGTCCACCAGCAGATAGGTTCTGCAGAAAGAACAGGAAGTGTAGAAGAAGAAAGCTTCGTATGAGGATGGATAATAGTACATGTAGCTAAAACAAATTCAGTCTAATGAAACATAATAAAATATATCATGTTTATTTCCTAGGTTATGTTATTATTTTTGCATATTGCCCACAAATACTGTTCAACTTTATTTAATTTTTAAAACATCTTCTTTTGTATAAATGTATATTTTTATAATTATGATTCTCGACTTTTGCTGTACTTTTATGTTCTTTTCTCTTTTTCTTACTCTGTTTATTGTGACCATTATGCACTAAAATATAAAATTATTCATATGTAAAAAACCTACTTGGCAATAAATAGACTTTAGATTCTTCTCAGATTTCATTGGTTGAAACTGTTTTAGAGAAGTGTATGATCATTTGAAGAGCATATATATTTAATACATATATGTAAAAATATGGGGGCTTTGAACCACTGTCACAAGCACCCTTCCCTTATATCAATGAAACACCTGTCTGTATAATGCAGCAGTTCAACAGCACCACAAACTGCATCCTCCAAAATGACCATGCAGCTGAATTAACAGGGCACCCCTCAAATAAAAACATTCTGGTGCTTTGTACAGAAAAGGACTCTTATTTATACTCAATTATGGCTCCTTACCCTTGTTGGAAGAAGGAGAAGCTGACACTGATGGGCATGTGGTAGATACTGAGAGGAATAGGGTCTCTCTCCTCTGCACTGTACTGAGGGAGCACAGGAATAAACACAAATTACAACCAACACAGAGTATCACAATATCTGTGGTGCAACATAACTGTAACATTTTTGTTCTGACAATAAAAAGACATGTTGACACTGACATGAGACAGTGTTCAATGATTAACCAGTGGTCTGTTTGTAGCAAAGAAACAAAGATCCTACGTTACATCCTCTGTTAGTGTCCTCACATCACATATTCACATAACCGAGCAGTTTGGAAGCATCAGACTCAGTGAAGCAGAGACACCACCAGCTGTGTTTGTTGCTGACTCACCACTGTCACTTCATCTCCCTGGATGCCCACATCAGGGCGTCTGAAGTGGCACAGAGCGGTGATGGCAGCGATGCTGGCAGCGTCCATCAGGTTCCCGTCATGATTCAACATGTGAACGTCCACTCTGATCTGCCACACCTGAACGCAGACAGACAGTCTCATCAGCACACTGGATAAGGTTGTTTTTCTCTTTTTTTTCTTGTGTGTGAGTGTGTGTGTGTGTGTGTATGCATGGGAGGATATATTTTACCTTTTCTCCAGACACCACACACAGGGACTCAGTATCAATGCACTTAGAGTTCCTCAAGCATCTCTCCAGCTGTCTGTTTAGCTTCACTGACAACTCAGACTGTCTGGAGAGAGAGGAAACCCCACAGACGATTTACTCTCTGCACAAACAAACCACGTTGCAGACACAGTCCTGGTCTAATGTGTCCCTTACCTCCATCAAAAAGTCTCATTTTAATGATGTGGCGAGAAACATTGCCAGTGAGCAAGAGGGAATACCTAATAAATATATATATATATATATATATATATATATATATATATATATATATATATATATATATATATATATATAAAAATGTATAATAAAGTACACACAAACATAATGTCTTTAGTTCCTTTCTCACCTGCCCGGTTCAAATGCTGGTGAGGCCATAGGCGACAGCTCGATGTTGAAGAACATGATTCCCTCGTTTGGTCGACTCTCTTTAGGAGCCACCAGTTCACACGACACCTGGGCCATGACCCTGTAAAATGTAGCACATTGATTTTCTATTATGACATTAACCACAAAATGTTCCATGTGAATTTTGGTGCATTTTATTTCAGGGTTTGAGAGGACCCCACAGACCCTTTGACAAGTCCATCTTTACAAACTCACATTGTGAAGACAAGCACTGTTCATCCAACTTTATTTTTACATGTTATAAAATCAAATGTATTTGTCATGCTAAATTACATATTTATATTTTTATTTATTACAGGAAATACAGCATATGAAGCTGTCAAACTGGACAGAAAAATGGAGGGTCGCCGGTTCAAGTCCCACAGACCACAGTATGGAGTATGGACTGGTAGCTGGAGAGGTGCCAGTTTCCCCTCCTGTGCACTGCCGTGGTGCCCTTGAGCAAGGCAACCTAACCCCAAGAAATTGCTCATGGGGCGCTGGCAGCCTATCACTCCACCATCTCTCTCCCTGTGTGCATGAAGTGTGTATTTCAGCGTGTGTGTGTGTGTGTGTGTGTGTGTGTGTATGTGTAAGAATATTTTTTATAAAGTATATATCTTATCTTTACAGTTAATAAGCTAAGGTGGTGATTTATGAGGAAGGGTAACCCTTAATGGACTATCAGGGAGAAAAAGCAAACTCTTTACACATATGTGGCCATAGATTCACCTGGTTTTCCCCAAATCCACGAAGCAGCATCCATAGTCTGTTCCGAATGTGATCTTCATCTTCCTGTAGTCATAGGTCTGCCGTCCATCCAGACGCTGCAGGAGGAGGACAAGTTTGAAGTTTATTTATTTAAAAAGGGACAATGCACAATAATTAACACGAGGACTGTGTAAATGTGTCAGATTTAGCCATACAGGCTAATTTTCATCCGCAGTCCCTGGCAGGTGGATGGCATAATTATTCTATATCAGTTATAGTAAGTTAGTACTAATACTGACATTATTGTTTTCCTTCTGTGGAAAACTGTGTTACTACATACAGTGGACACAATGAACAGAAAGCAGCTCACCTTTTTCTCTTCGATGGCTTTGAGCAAGAAATCCCGCTCACAGTTAGAAAGCGGTGTGTCCTTCATTCTGCTGGCTTTTGCTGTCAATAATCAATAATGGAATTCACAACTGTGCTGCCACTGATCCGACAGGCATGTGGTCGCCATCAATATTTTCTGAACTCTAACCCGGAAGGGCATGCGACGTGCCGTAGTAAAAGTGGAGTAAATATATATATATATTTTTTTACTCGTTTTGAATGATCTCGAAATGGCTGTTATGTTAAACTAATTGTGTTTAATTAACATCGTCCAAATGTTTGCTGGCACTGTGCCCGTGGAGCATCTTTAGCACAATTTACTGAAAATAAGCTTTTACTTTGTAATCCTACTGCAGAGCGCGTACTGATGCCTTCAGGCGCTCCTCCTAAACTCGTAATTTGGGGCTTTCAAAATTGGAAATATTGACAGCTAGTACCCGTAGCATTTTGTGGGATTTTTTTTTAAATGAATGCTTATTACGAATTAATGTGGTTTTGTTGGAGCACTCACAGAATGGACCCTGTTGCTAAGTTGGTTTTGGGTGGCTGTATTTTGGGAGTATATCGACAAACTGCCATTTTGTCCTGGGCATCGTGCATATTTATTAAAAACAACATTTCACAACAACGATTACAGTTTAAATGGTGAGATGAATTGTTCTAGTCGTTGCAGTAATACTGATTATTTATTCAAACCTCATGTAAAAGAATAGCAAGCTCCGGCAACGCTCTCGTCTCCTATTATTTATTACAACTGTCGGTGGTACTTGAAAGCACCACTCACGCTCTTCATAGGCTCGATGTGCGCATGCTCATTTGCAGGGACCCGCTCTCTCTCGTCAACGGTGCAGCGTTATCGGGCCAAGCTGTCATCCACGTCCCATCCTCTCCAGCAGACAACCGTGTTTTTCCCAGCCGTACACGGCGGGCCTCGGTGAGACTCTCAGAGGGCCGTACGCTCAACATACCTCCTGTGATTTCCAAAGCGAAGAATTGTCTTTTATCGAGGGATTGTGTCTGCAGATAGAAGAGGGCGGAAGGTTTGTTTGTGTGCGCTCATTCATTCTCTCCATCCCTCCCTCCCTGTGCGACATCACTGCTAATTTGGCGAGCTAACCGTTGCTATCCGCTCATTTCTACAGTCCAACAAGACATTTTCGGCCACCGTTAACCTTAAGATTATTCTGTTCTGTTTGTGTTCTTAACGCCAGTGCATGTTTAATTAATGGACTCCTTGAATAAGCTCATTAGTTTACAGCTAAGCTTGTGTTATGCTAACGGTTGCCGTTTGTGATTGGCGCGCCGTACAGCTAGCTAGCTAGCTAGCGGAGAAGGTGCTGCAGCCAGAGCCATTCATCTGACAGAGTTTGGACGGTGCAGTGCTCGGTGGCAGCCATGTTAGCTCCACAACCCTGTCCTATGACCTTTTCTTTCTAGTTCCTAGATCTCTTCAGTTATTAGCTTCTTCTATATGGTAATGGTAATAAAATAACAGCTTGCTGGCAATGCTTAACGTCAACCAGAGGCTGGTAAGGGATGATACACCAGTACATTTGGACTGTACCTGTATAAGCCTAATGGTAAATAATATACTGACTGTGGTAGCTGACATCCAGACAGAATAGCTAGTGGATTTTGTTTTGATCAGTTGGGGGATGGCCTGTTTATAGACACACTGTTGGATCAAATATTTCATTCTGCTCATTTGCCTACACTTGGCTGGTAATGATGATCTTGTGTTAAGGCCAAAATTGGAATAATTATGTCATAAAGCAATATTGGCGTTTGCACCGGTTTATCTAAAATTGATGCATTAACCTTCTCTGCCCCCCCCCATAGAGGACCAACCATTGACTGAGGTCATTATCCTTGAGACACACACACACACACACACACTTTTAAGACATGTCATGTAGAAGGGGAAGGCTGTGGGGTATTATGCATTCACCCAGTAAAGTGTAGGCTTCAAAGAGTTAATTTTACTGTTGAGGTTGTCATGATGCGAGCACTGCAAAAGCCGACACAAATAAAAGTCATTGAGGGCTTTCAACGCTACAGTGCTATGAATCTGACCCCTTCCTATCTTGATCGGATTCTCTGCAACAAAAAGCAAGAGCTCAAAAGACATTTTCATTGAATGTGCCTACTTCTGAAACACTGTTGTTTTCAACTGCATCAAGCTTCTACATGTTTTGTATATTCTCACATCAGAATCCATTTTTTGTCATCTCTTCCTGTATGGGATGTGGTCAAGATTTCTTACAAACTGTTTCTTTATCTGTTCATTTCTTTCAGACCAATGATGCGAATCAATGAGCAACATTGCAGCACGTTTCTCCAGATAACATAGCTCGTAATACTACTCCCCATTCGTCATCTCTCCCCTATGCTTTATCAGAATCCGTTTGATCCTCCTGCGCTGTGATGTTAGCAAATAGAACAACAGCAGTATGGGAATTAAAGTTAATTAGGAATTAATGAAAGCGTGCTGCTGTGCTGTCTGCAGTGATGCTTTTCAATTCCTGCTGCTGACAACAAGAGCGAGCAGGTGTGGCCAGATCAATAGGAGGTCATTGGAGCTGTTGTTTGGCGTAACAGATCTCTGAATTGTACCATTATTCAGCAGGTCATCTTTTAAGGTTTCAAATGCATATTAGGACACACACAAAGATTCTGATACGATGTATTTGCTGCTAGAAATTAGGACTAATCGGGATATTTGGGAAAGAGGACATATTGTAAATCCAAAGAGGTTAGTTGTATGTTACAGATTTGAAAGCACAGATAATTCTGGCATCTGCGTAGAAGGAGTCTGTCTTTATGATTTATCTGGTGGGGACACATTACAGCAGACAAAGGGCCGACGTAAAGGATTTTTTAAGGAAATGGTGCGAAAAACACAAGATAAGGATGTGATCTGAGGACACAGGCCCCATATCAAGGAGCACCATGTACTAATGTGACCTCAATCTCTTCTTTTTTTTTCTCCCACCCTCCCATCCTTCCTTCCTTTTATGCACTTGTGTTTTCTATTTATATCATTGACGCCCCCCCCTCCCTGCACACACACACACACACACACACACACACCCCTTTCCTCTCCATAAATAACTGTCTTACTCTCACCTTCCTTCTCTTCCCAACCCCCTCCTTCATCCTCCCATACCACGCCCTCCTCACTCTGCTGCTCACACCATGCTCATCTCTGATGCCCCTTACCTCACCACGCCCCCCGCCCCTATTTTTACCCTTTACAGATGAAGTTGGACAGAGGTTGGATGTGGCGCGTGCTGCTCCTGACCTCCCTGGCTGTGGCAGCTGTGGCGGCCCAGGACCAGCAGGTGGAGGGTGACGTTTCGGACATCGATGAAGATATGGGCCTGGATGACGAGGAATTAAATGTTCTGATGGCAGAAGAGGAGGAGGAAGAGGAGGAGGAGGAGGCGACGGTGATGGATGAAGACCACACTGATGAGACAGAGACAGCGAGTGGGAAGGCTGGCGAGGCTGGAACGGATGCAAATGTCTCCTTCCAGGTCAGGAATGGGTCATAGGTCAAATAAAGGTCATATGTCAAGCTGTATCAAATGTATCAAAGCTACTAAAAATGACATTTAAGGAATGTTTTCTTGACAGTTGCAATGCTCTAGATTAAGGGAAATTGAGGGCCTGTATATCAACTTCTAATTTATGTTCTTTGTTCTCCAGGTAACGTACAAGACTCCTGTCCCCACTGGAGATGTCTACTTTGCAGAGACGTTTGACGATGGATCACTGGACAGGTATAGCCTGAAAAATGTACCACCAAGTGCTGCTAAAAAATACAGTGTAAATGTTTGATGCATGCTGGGATACGTGAGCCTCCAGTGGTACTGAGCGTCCAGGATAAACTTTCACATCAGTGGTTGTTGTATGTCTGTGTTCACCTTTTCTTGCGTGGACTCACAAGAGTTTTGTGATGTTGATCTCCACAGATGGCAGCTGTCAAAGACGGTGAAGGGGGACACAGATGATGACATTGCCAAATATGACGGTTTGTTACTCTTTTCTCCTTTCTGCTAATCCAGACATGTGCGTATGAGAACTCCTTCTCATGTGTACCTTACAGACTCACTTTTCTGTATGTGTGACAAGAGAGATATTTACAACCATGGGTTGTATTTTATAGTTATGGACGCCACCTCGTATTGTTTATGATAACACTTCACTTGGCAGTATAATTGCTAAGATGTGAGGTGCGAGCGCGCAAGACTCTAAAACAGTGTTTGTGATGTTCTGTGGACTACACTAAAGCAGAGACTCTGCATACACACTCCCCAGCAATTAAGCTAAAATGTTATGACCCATATCAATGTTTACCATGACCCTGAAAATAAAACTCCTCTCCGACTGTAGGGAAGTGGGCTGTGGAGCAGTTGAAGGAGAACAAAGTTCCAGGAGACCTGGGTCTGGTGCTCAAGTCCCGGGCCAAACACCACGCAGTCTCTGCAATGCTGAACAAACCCTTTGTCTTCCAGGATGAACCTCTGGTCTTACAGTGAGTTCCACCTTGTACACTCATTCTTGTTGGTGCAAGTTTTTTTTTTCTCAATGTACTACAGTAGTTAGTGGATGTATAAGTGAGGGACTAAAATCTGGTATTTGCACAATGGACAACAGTGTGTAAAATACTGTCTGCCCAAGACTTGTTTAATTGTTTTGTTGTGTTCTGGTTGCAGGTATGAGGTGAATTTCCAGGACGGTATTGACTGTGGTGGAGCGTACATCAAACTGCTTTCAGACACTGGCAATCTCAATCTGGTTGGTATACGTGTTGTCATTCTACATTACTCCACTTATAATGTGAAATGTTTTGATGTGCACTGTAAAATTGTGCTTGTGTGCGACAGAATAAGCACATATAGGCATCTTTCACTGGAGCAAGTACATGCGCTATGTTCCACCTCTGTCCTCTGTATGTGGCAGAACTGGGTAAAGGTAGTCTGGATTTAAACTAGATAGATCAATTCCATTTACTCTTTGAATTAAACCCTTGTTTCTGCTGCACTGTAGGAGCAATTCCAAGACCGTACACCCTACACCATCATGTTTGGACCAGACAAGTGTGGCGAGGACTACAAGCTGCACTTCATCTTCCGCCACCAGAATCCTCTGAACAAAGACTTTGAGGAGAAGCATGCCAAGAGGGCCGATGTCGACCTCAAGAAGTTCTATACTGACAAGAAGACTCACCTCTACACTTTGGGTACAGAGACCATTTGGAAAGATGATGTATAGATGTGTAAAATGTGTCTTTCACATATAATGCTTTACACACACAGAAGCCTAATAACTTTCAAACCTCCAGACCTTTCTTTGTTTAAAAAAAAAAAAAAGTAAATTCCTCCTTTTGCTCACACATTCATTGAGCATTTGTCCCTGTTGTCAGTCCTGAACCCAGACAACAGCTACGAGATGTTAATTGACCAGTCCAGCGTGAGCCGTGGCAGCCTTCTGCATGACGTGGTGCCTCCAATCAACCCCCCCAAAGAGATCGATGACCCAAATGACTCCAAGCCTGACGACTGGGACGAGAGGGCCAAGATTCCTGACCCTGAGGCTGTCAAGCCCGATGACTGGTGACTGCAACCCCCTCGCTAGTAGACAGTACAGATTTTGTTGCAGATTGAACATGTTTAAATGTTGGGGCATCGTCATTCTAACAAACATGGACGTGTGTGTGTGTCTTAGGGATGAAGATGCCCCAGCAAAAATTGATGACCCTGACGCTTTGAAGCCAGAGGGCTGGCTGGATGATGAACCAGAGTTTGTCCCCGACCCTAATGCTGAGAAACCAGAAGACTGGTAAATAAACACATTCCCCAGGCCAACAAAGCCATAACCAGCATGATGTTCCAGTGTTGCCACAGTAAGCAATTGGTCCAGCCTGACAGCTCTCCACTGTACACAGGGACGAGGAGATGGATGGTGAGTGGGAAGCCCCGCAGATTCCTAACCCAGCCTGTGAGACCGCTCCTGGCTGTGGGGAGTGGAAGCGTCCCAAGATCAACAACCCTCAGTACAAGGGCAAGTGGAAAGCCCCTCTGGTGGACAATCCCAACTATCAGGTAACTAGAACTGATCCAGCTGAAGAAATCGGCTGCTTTTACGGTTTTATTTTACTACATTGGTCAGAAATATCAAACATCTGCGCTGATATCTGATCAGCCAAATACGCTTATTTATTTATTTATTTATTTATTTGTAAAACAGGAATGATGATGTGCACTCTACAGTGCTCGGTTTACTTTCTCTGTTACATGCAACACCTCTGACATGTCCTGGTGGAGATGCTGTGTGTTTGTGCACAAACTGAAACCATCTCTCTTCCCTTCTAATTGTTTTCCTCCACACTTCATCTTCTCCCAAGGGAGTCTGGAAGCCGCGCAAGATCGATAACCCAGACTATTTTGAGGACCTGCAGCCCTTCAGGATGGCACCTTTCAAGGCTCTGGGCTTGGAGTTGTGGTCCATGACCTCAGATATCTACTTCGACAACTTCATTATCACCTCTCACAAAGAGGTGGCCGACCGCTGGGCCTCTGACAGCTGGGGGCTGAAGAAACTGGTGGCCAGCGCTAACGAGGTCAGTGTGATGGTTTGTAAGGGCAACAGGAACATAGAGTGGCTTCTTAACAGACACTTACATTGTCACTATGTGCATATATTTCACCACAGGGATGTCTGTTTCTGTGAGGGAATGGCTCACTATTTGCCCTTGCTCTCTGGTCCTTTGTCTTTCCTCACTAGCCGGGGATTTTCGCTCAGCTGATGTTGGCAGCAGAGGAACGACCGTGGCTCTGGGTGATCTACATACTGACAGTTGGCCTGCCTGTAGGACTGGCTGTGCTCTTCTGCTGGCCAAAGGTACTGTGTGTCTATCATTTATGCTTTGTATGTTTCCGATCCCGATTTTATGTACACCAGAAAACCCTTTTTAAACCTCACTGTGATCCCATCTCCTGTTTGTGTCCTAGAAATCAGATGACGACTACGTGTACAAGAAGGTGGACCCTCCCCAGGCTGATATAGAAGAAGAGGAAGAGGAGGAGGAGGAAGAAGAGGAGGCAGCAGCAGATGAGGAAGACAAAGCAGCTGAGGCTACAGACGGAGCAGCAGCTGCAGGTTAGAGGGTCAAACACAGGACATCACGCACTGTTCTGCTGCTGCTGTATTGATCAGCAGAGTGTTTCACTGCTACATTGTTCTACAGTCGTATTTCTTTGTCCTCACTGTCAACCCCTTTACCCCACTCTCTCCAAAGCAACAGAAGAAGCTGAGGAGGAAGAGGAGGAAGAAGAGGAAGAAGAGGAAGAAGAAGAAGAGGAGGAAGAAGAGGAGGAGGGAGCCGATGCAGGAGGTGACAATCTAGAGGGGGATGAGGACGAGGAGGAAGAGGACGAGGAGGAAGAGGATGAGGAGGAAGAGGAGGAAAGCAAAGCTCCCGAGAGAACATTAGAAGATGAGGTTGGTGTCATTGTGTTGGTCGACATCTGCGGTTCCTGTGTGCACATCCTCCACTTCACATTGCTCTTTAAAAGGTTCCACATTGTTCAGTATTCATCAGGATAATAACCAACTGTTCAACTGTTTAATAGAGTAAATGAAAATATTTCTTCATCCAATTGAATTTTTAACTCCAGGCCGAAAACAGATTTTTTTTTCCCTTAGTAAGAAAACATATTGCTAATTTCATCGATTTAAAAATTAAATAATAATAATAATTAATAAGACTATTGATATGCTTATTGGAACTGAAGTGAATAAAAATCCTTCAATTTTAAGAAAATAAAAGTTCAGGGTTTAAGCTTCTTCAAAATGTGCATGTCCACCTATTTCATTGATTTATCATTTAAAAACTCAAATCAATTTTAATAATGTGAAATATGTTTATTATATCGCAACAATATGTTGACTTTCACAGCAATGAGAGCAGCTATTGTAAGTCAGTCCGTCTGTCAGAGTGGGTCTGTTTGTCCCAAAAGTGTGAATTGGCAGCCATACTTGTTTCAACACACATGGTAGGGTAGCAGTTTCTCTCATGCTGTCGTCTTCGGTTCTGAGCTCATGTTTTTGTATTTAAAAACAAAACGACAAAGGTCACAGCTGATCATGAATCCTGTGCCTGCATTACGTTGTCGTGACACACTGTTGACCTTTTTTAAAACCAGACTAGGTCGCCTACACTGGTCCGATGTCTGCAGGTCTTTTAAAGGTCATTAATGTTACAATGAGGGGTGGATGAATCCATACCTAAAGTCTTGTTTTCAGTATTGATACTAGAGACAATAGGATTGATACCAAAAAAAGGAATCACCTCATTAGTTCAAAGAATTTACGACACACACATTTGTTAGGTGTCATTGTGTTTGAACACACGTGATAAAGTAATTGACAGAAAACGGTAAAAAGAAATGCTTAATGTTTGGAAAATCAATTCATCATCATCATCAAACGGTAATGAAAATGTACTCACAAGTAACCTATTAATGATACTCACCTCTGGAATCATGATGCATGGCTTCCCTCTTCATGATAACACAGTAGTATGTGTTTCAATATTGCTCGACTAGGTATCAGAATTAGTTATAAATCATATTACCTATACTCAAAGCCTTGAATAGATTATGTTTAGAAGGTGGTTCAAATGTAGCTGTGTACTGTTACAGGGTACAAAGCACCACACAGACCCATGAATGCCACACATTAATTTATTCCTTAATTCGTATTCTCCCACTTGTGGCTGGCCTGGTCCTGCAGACAACACACTGAACACATCATTCCCTCCCCTCTCCTTTGTTTAGACTGTTTCACGTCTCTGACACTGTGTCCTTGTCCTAGTGACAAATGTGCATGGTCAGGCAGTCTGGCTGCTCGTGTTTTCGTTTTCAGTGATTTCACTTACTAGACTGATCCTCTGCTTGGCATTTAAACGTTCTTTAAGAGTGATGTTTTAATGTCTCATCCATTCAATTTGGCTTTTTTTCCCTTTTTGCTCTTAATTTCATTCACGTTCTGGCCCGCAGCCGAAGGAGGGTAGAGACGTCACCGAAGAGAGCCACAAACAAGCTGTGAGAAAGAGGAGGGTACGGAAAGACTAAGGAAGTGAACCCCACGCCTACTGTCTCCTTTCTCCCCCGGTGCGGAGGAGGTGGAAGGGCCGTCTCCGCCACTGCTCCCCGTTCTCCAAGCGGTGCAGCACGTATTTCCCTCCAAACCACCTGGTAGCCTGCAGTCACCCCGGCTGCCCCATCCACGTCTCCTCCATGCCTCAGCTACACTCATCACAGGTTTGCACTCTCCCAAACCACACCCCGTTATCACCCCACGTCTTGTCTCTCCCTCCCGTCTGCTCATTGAACTATCAGATGAACCCCCTGGAGATTTTGTGCATTTAGCTGTGTTTTCCTCCTCCATCCTGAGCTTCCACGCTTTTTTCTTCACCCGTCTTCTCTTCTCTAAGCCATTGCTGTCTACCTGCCTGTCAGGCCTGAAATTCCACCTCTCCCACCTCTGTTCCTGTTCACCCCGTCTCTGCTGTCAGTTTTCTCTCTGATTTATATGCCGTCATAGATCTACCCGTCTGTCTCCTGTGAGAGTGAAGGCAGCAGAGAGCGTCTGCACTGCTGTCGACTCCAGTTGTTCACACCATTTTACAGCATATCATAGGGGCTACATCTCAGAAACATAGACTTTATTCTCGTGTCCTTTGTTTTAAAGAACATGTTCAAGGACACAGTTTGACAAAGTTCCTTCCTTGTTCGAAATTGTTGGGGTTCCAAGAACAGGCCAGGAGGAGAGGACGCCAGGCTGTTTAAAATGTCACTGCAGTGTCAGGGCATTTCAGCTGATAAGACGCCTCAGCTTAGGTTTAAAAGTTTACCTCTTTAAAAAAAAAATGGATGTTCTGTTTAGATTATAGGTAGTTTGTAAGGAGCATCAGTTACTTTTATGTGTGTTTTTTACTAAGTTATAGCACTGATAACCCTATTTATTGGTTTGTTTTAAAATGGTTTTATGCCAGTATGAATAAAGATTTATTGATGCAGTGTTTTGAGTGACTTGAGGCAATTTTCTTAAATATATGCCACTGATGTGCTTCTTCTCAGTCTAGGTAAAGTTAAATATGATCAGAGTTAATGATCAAAACACTGACGCGGTCAGCGCTTGCAGCAAAAATAGGTAATTTTGAATGCCTTGACCATCGGTTGTCAATAAGAGTATAAAGATGTGAAAACGTCTCATTCAGTCAGTACACAGCAGTGCTTTCCCAGAATGTCTAGCTGGAGTTCAGAGCCTAGATTGTTGCCTGGGGAAGACATTGATGCTAATTTATTTGTTTTATATTATTGTCTCAAGCTTTTGTAGTTCATGTTCTTGCCAGATGCTGGCAGATATTCCTGTTTACATTTGTTTGCAAATTGTACATTGCTCTTGAAAATAAAATTATTTAATACAAAAGTGTCTGAACAAATGAGGCACATTCTTTCCTTCACTTTGATTCATTTGCTCATGCTCTCTGTCATCTCTGACAGATAATTTAGGGTTGTGTAGGGGAAAAAAGACCCAGAGAAAGGAGTGATCTTAGGTTTTTATTAAAACAAATGTTTAAAGGCAAAAGTGCAGGGTGTCTACACACAGACAGTTGGTACCACAGTGTGTGTAGTTAGGGCATAGTCAGCATGCCAGAAAGAAATGAATGACTTACAACTGTTAAAAATATCAAAATAACCTCAATAAATTACAGCATATAGAGTTTATAGCCACCCCTAATATAACCAATTCCTCCGTTTTCAAACAGCACCACAGTCACGTGATCTTTACACACGAATTACTGTTTTCCAGACATTAAACTGGATATTTCTGTTTAAAGGGAATACAAATTTGAGATTACATTATGTTTTGTCTCCTCCTTCCACCATCAATCCTTTTGTCTTTTTATGTGAGGCAGCAGCGGCCTTGGAGGACACACCCTCCACTCTGCTGTACACTGAGGACATCAGCACATTTTACGGTCAAACCCATCCTCCAGCAGGTGATGTATTCCAGGCCTGGCTGAATGGATCAATAGCACTCAAGGCCTCTTTACTGCTTCTGGCCATGCAGTTAAAGGGGAAAGCATCTCTTTCTTCCCTGCTCATCTCCCTGTTTCACTACATCCTCGTTATTTGGCCCTTTCAGTCCCCTCCCCCCATGGGCATTCCAGGATAAGGGCACAAAATGTAATAATACGGGGTGCTTTTTCTTTGTCACGCTCACATTACAAACTGGGCCATCACTCATGTATGACATGATAAACTGAAAGGGTTACAAATACTTATGTACAGAAAGAAAATTGTGCATTTTGTGATTTAAAAATGAAGCACTTACAATAAAACCATTACTTCCATGGAGTGCTAGATTACACAACGTTTCTCTGTGCTTTTACTTTAACTGTTGCCAAGCTCTCAATGGTACCAATGTGTATCCAGTATCCACTTCCTGTTATTACAAAGTTAGGTAAGCAAAAGGTAGCTTTATACAGTCTGCAATTCAGTGATTAATTGATTTAATGACATTTCATTAGCCATACTAAACTGACGAGCAAAAAGGTGTGTTATTCATACATGCGATCCGAACACATTTTTTTCTCAGTAATACTGTTCAGTTTGCCATCTTTTAAATTGAGGAATACAGTCGTGCTTTACATAGACATGATGACATCCAAGACCTGCTGAAAACTCAGATCCAGCTGATGTAGAAAATACTTTAGAAAAATAAATAATAATAAAATAAACCAGTGTTGAAAACAAGGTTCATGGTCAAACAGTATTTGTAATATTGATGGTTTGTTTTGGCCCACTTAAAGGTCAGTTTGAGGCAGGAACACTGTCAGAACGTTAGGAAAACCACAGGAAATCAGAATTGTCCTCAAACAGAAAACCAGGCAGGTAAACAGAGCTAAGAATTATTTTACAGATACTACTTTGACAGAGAGCATTAAGAAGGTACTCAAGGTACAAATGACTCTTAACCACAAACTGATTGTGGTTCTGTTTTGTGTTAGTGATTAAAGGATAACGTCTACCTCATCTGTAGTGTGGAGAGGAAGCTGCTGCAAAACAGACCTGGGCCAGACTAACATTACATTTCTGAGCCAGAGGGACGGGGTCAGTTTATGTTCTTGATTATTAAATCGTTAGTTTTGACTCAGGTAAGTGAGCTGAATGGTTAAAGTAAACGCCCAGGTCTGCTGAGAAAACAAACCCCCCTCCATGTCTCCATGGTGGGTTTCCTCTCCTGGCTGCTGGCCTGGGACTTCAGCTTTTTTTCCCAGAGGGTACCTCACTTCCGTTTGCTCTTGGTGTCGGTGGTCTGGAAGACACTGGAGGCTGACATGAGGTTCTCAATGTACTGACCGAGGACCTGGTTCTCAGACTTTAACTTCAGGTTCTCCTCCTTGACTGCGTCGACTCGTGCCGACAGGTCTGGGGGAAAAAATAAAGAATGCGAAGCTAAGACGCAGAACTGATATAACCACTTTCCCTGGTTTAGGTTTAATTGTACTTACAATTGTACCTGTGGAGGTTTTGACCACTTGTAGTGCTATTGAGCAATGTTTGGGTGAGCAGGTCACTACTCTGTTTCTATCTCATCTATATATTCAATTCCAGACAGAATCTAAACATGACTTTATTTGGTGGGGAGAAATCTGCCTGCAAAGGTAAGAAAGAAGATGACTGCTAGCAACCAAACCCAGATGTACACAGGGCTGCCTGATTTTAATGCAAATTGTTAAACAATCTAACAAAAAGCAACCTTTGGTTGGTTGGTGACATTTAGCCAGGTTAAACTGTTTTGACCATCAAGGTATGATGACTATGTAACTGAAAAAACTGAATTCATCAACACTGATTTTTTTTTTCTAATGTTCTGAACTATTAGCATTTGTGCTGGGAAGAATCTTCCATTCACTGGAGAAAACCTTGTGTTTATGTGAATGGTGTTTGTGAATGCGGCAAAGCAATGGAGAGAAAGTGTAAGAGGTAGAGGGAGTGCATTAGCACGGGACTACATCAAGACAGCAGAGTGGCTGAGATGAGAAAGGAGCAGCAGCACAGGGAGAAGCATCCACTGTTTTAAAACTTCACGCTCAAAAGAGCATGAAAGACAGACGTGTTTTGGTGGTGAGGAGAGAATAAGTAGTAGAGTGTCTGGGGTCTTATTTAATCTGGTTTGTATTAGAGGGAAAGACAAGGACTCACACACAAGGAGTGAGACAGGTTTTGGTTAGATTTTTTGTTACACTTCTTGATGCAATTTTAATCATCATAGAACAGGTTTCTGCGTGTCTCTAATGTCAAAGGACTTCCATCATCCTGGAGGAGACGCAGATAAAGTTGCATGTGTGAGTTACCTTCCAGTGTGTGCTGAAGTTCCAAAACTTGATTTATTAACCTCGTCTTCTCCTCCATCTCCACCTGGTTCTCCATGTCGCCTGAAACAGACACACACACACACTCATGCTACTTACATACAGTTACACATTATGAGACACCGTTTCCTTATTATTAAATGATGCAACCCTCAGACATCAATTGTTTCACACAGTTGCATGTAAGCAGACGTACCATCTATGTCACAGTTCATGATGAAAAGCTCGTTCTCCTGTTTAGAATACAGGGCTGCAGATCCACTGTCCACTGTAAGAGAAGAGCAACAGACACTGTGAGCTGTGTAGAGCAGTCATACTGCTGACAACAGGATGTTACTGTCCAGCTTGGATTTGCTGTGCTATATATAATCTATATATGTACATATCTGGGTGGGAGTAGACACCGCACCCAGGGCCGGGCTGTGAGATAATGCTGCTGACCCGCAGATGTACCATTGAGATGCCTGTTATGAGCCAAACTAATCTTTACATACGGGTAGACTTTATTGTGTCTGTCTACTTGCCTACAATCTCCCTTCTAGAGCCACAGATACACGACCGACCAACGCCAAACAACAGTAGTGGAAAATCAACGTTAGTCCAACACATCAAGTCTCCTATTCAAAGCCAGGGGTTGTATTATCGGACAGCCTCCCTGTTAAAGTCCAACTACTTTTATTCTGGCCCTTCCTGGCTCGTCCTCTCTATGGGACATCTTCCATCTCTGTCGCGGATTGCTGTCCCTCAGTCCAATAGCCGTAAACAGAGACAACTGCACAACATAGCCCGAAAACATGTGGGTATGGTTTGTAAACTTAAAAACACGTTGTCACATCTAGTTTACCGCCGTGTGTCGGTGGATGTGAAGGCTGTCATCAACCTTTCCAGCTAACACTGCGGAGCAGAGGACGTGTCCGATAATGGACGCATGTACATTAGCCATGTAAGCTAACTATTTTTGTGGCTAGCTGCGCCAATGGAACCGCAAGATAACCTGACTGCTTCAACACCAGATGTGAGGTTTGTGTCTCCTCAGAAGCAACCAACACTCAGCCGTCTACTCAGCCTCATATTTAAAGGCGACTCTCTGATAAATACATTTTATTTTACTTTAAAGTGCCAAAGCACGTCGGCCGGAGTGGGGCTAAAGGTTTCAAGCTAACTGCTGCTGCTAGCTAGCTCAAGGTTCAAACGTAAAATGGTGAAGTCAGCTGGGATTCAGCTGCTTCACATTTTCTTCACTCAATACAACAAACGTTAGAACATGTCGGCGTTTACACTCACCTAAAGCGAGAAATGTCTCCTCCGTTTAGCGGAGTTATGCTGTAAACACACTAGAGGCTCTGTGGTGGTGATGATGATGATGATAGCTGGTACTTCACCCATCTACATCGTCATCTCTACGTCACTGTGTGTACGTGACCACACCGACCGACAGGGGGAGCACCTACTGCGCACACACGCACACACACACACACACACACACACACACACACACTTGATGCAGTCCTAACAGATGCTCAGGCGTTCAGTCATTCCCCCTGGTTCCAAATCACACACACACACACACACACACACACACACACACACACACACACACATACATACACACAGACAGTCACAGCAGCAGTTGGCAATGAAAACCTGACCAGCAATGCCATCCCCACCAGAGCTGTGTGTGTGTGTGTGTGTGTGTGTGTGTGTGTGTGTGTGTGTGTGTGTGTTTAGTGTTTGTTTGTTTGTTTGTTTGTTTGTTTTTGTGCATCTAGCTCTCCTTCTGTCCATCTGTCCATATGCATGTATGGAGTGGTTGCCAGCCAGTGTGAACATTAATATATATGTCTGTGTGTCTGTGTGTGTGTGTGTGTGTGTGTGTGTGTGGTATCCTTTCAGACTGTGCACTGCGTCTCTGCTCGCTCTGAGGAGTCCATATGCTGCTGCTTGTTAGCCAAACCCAACCCTGGGGACACTGCTACTTAAGCCAATAGCCTTCTATGACCAGTCTACTGTGTGTGTGTGTGTGTGTGTGTGTGTGTGTGTGTGTGTGTGAACCTGTGAGTTATCACTGGGCCACAGTGCCAAAAGCACTGTACCCCCAACTACTAACATTTCTAAACATGTAACCTACTTTTCAGCTCTTTCTGAATGACAATTTATCAATGCCAAAGCTATGCTATGACCAAGTGTGAACCTATCGTACATATGTAATATATACTGTCAATGGCTATGACACATAAGAAAGCCAAGCTATAACCTGTTTGCAAGTCAAGATTTTAGTCTGACTCTGCAGAGTGAGATTTGTTTTGGCGCACTCAGTCATCAGTACAAGCTCAGTTTTCACCATTTTATTTAGGGAAGCGTCCGGTGAGAAAAGTTTGAACCACAGCGGCTGGAGGTCGGACCAATCAGGGAGCTTTGGAAAGTATGTAACAACAGGAAATGCTGCTCGCAGTTTGACAAAATAATCCTAACTCAAGGTCTACTTCCTTACTTTTTCTAGCGCTTTCAAGTGCATCTTACATCTGCTGATGAAGTTGCCACCAGTATAACTGTCACCTGAGCAAACTCCATCATCAACAATGGGGAAAGGACTTAAAGGACCAGTGTGTAAGGCTTAGTGGCATCTAGTGGTAAAGTTGCAGATTGCAGCTACCTGAACATTGCTCGTGTCTCTATTTGATGACCTGGGAATGAGAGGCTGTGAAGTGTGTGGGAGGAACCACAGTGGAAAGTCCCTATCTACAGCCAGTGGTCAGTTTGTCCCCTCTGGGCTAAGGTAGAAACATGGCGGTTCAACATGGCGGACTCAATGGATGGAGACCCACAGCGCCTATTCTATAGTAACACAAATTATTCATCATTATTAATGAGTTAATGATGAATGCTCAAATATAGGCTGGTGCAGCAGTAGCACAAGGCCAGAGGAATCATTAACTGATTCAGTTACACAACAGTATCTATCTAAAGTTTCCTCACATTAGCCACCATTAGTTAGTGGTCATAACAGACCAAGTAAAGCTGTAGAGGAAGACTTTATTTTTTTCTCCTTTAAAAAGTTACAGTCTCGGTTTAAAGTGGCAATAATTAAAATATTACGATATTTAGCAACGTATCAAATGACAAGGTGAAAACAATGTGAAAGGGTCACTTGCAGTAAGGAACCTAATGAAAATGATCACCTGAATCTGCAGCTCCCCTCCGCTTTTCTGAGCTTTAAAGTGAGTTTCAGCTCATTGCTTAGCTGTCCGGCTGCAACTTTATTGTTCTGGTTCTCTCACTGAGTGTAATTTTCAGCCACAGCAGGGAGCCACTTTCAGTGAAAAAGCTCTGAAAGCTAAAGAGACAGTTATTCCCTCAGGAGTTGGTAAAGACCGAAAACAGAGCTTAAGCCGAATATTAGACTAACATCCATCAGGCGGTCAAAGAAATGACTCCAGATGAATGATAATGTTGCTCTGTAATTTTCTTTTGTACACTATCTACTATTGATATTGAAATATCAATCAGTCTGCCGTTGGATATCTCAGAATGTTGATTTTAATAAATCACCTTTTTTATTGTGCATTAAGGGGATATCAATCAAAGTGGCCATGGTTTGTTCATTTTTAGAATGGCGTTTATCTGTTTTTGACAGCAGCTTTTTTTTTTCTCAATTTTTAATTATTAATACATTTTAAGCCCAGCCCAGTGATGGCCTAGTTAGTGGGGTGAATGTCTAGTGTAGGGGTAACAAGGGTTCATTTAGATTATTGAATGAAGGACAAAACTTGTCATCTTGGAGAGTTTAAATTTGCAAAAATAACCTTTTATTTTTCGTATTGTCTCCAGGGGTTGCAGGTCAGGATTCCAGGATCTTGAGAAGTAACAACAGTTTATGGCTATAACAATATAACAGGCCTCAACAAGACATGTCCATATCTGGCTGCTGGGGTCAAGGCTGGATTACCAACCTGGTTGCCCCATGGCCCCACACCCTCGGGGACCCCAGATTCTCATCTCACTCATTCATTTGGATAATTGTACATTTTCAGCACTTAAAGGTCCAGTTTGTAACATTTAGGATTTATTGGTAGAAATAGAATAGAATATTGACAGGAAGGTTTTATTAGTGTATAACCACCTGAATATAAGACTCATTATGTTTTTGTTACCTCTGAATTTCTGTTTTTTGCACGTTTCATGGCCACTGTAGTTTCACCTTTGTACTTGGAAGGGGAGGGTGAACTACACCACGAGATACAATTAAATCTGGACCTTTAAGTATGCAACCTTAGGCGAGTCTTGCAATGTTACTGAATCTTGTTGCAGACTCCAAACATTGATTATGAATGGTTTAACTGTAATGGGTTTTTCACTTGCACAGTCAGACAAATAGGTCAGAAATTTACTTGCCCTGAGTCCATTTTTACTTGCCCCAATACAAATAGTTTTTTAGCGGTAATCAAATAACAACAAAGGCCCTCTTACCTGCCATGTAAGTGAGATGCTGTCGGCTCTTGTTATGACACTCCAGTGCCGTATTTCAGAAACTTGATGTGCCTTTGAAAAATGATCTTGTTTTCAAACATGCGGCAAACTGTGCCACCCAACTAAACTACTGTTTCCAGGATAACTGACAGCTCGCTTGCACTTCGGCTCATAAACTTTGCTGCCATTTTCTCGCGAGGGCCCAGTCGATACTGTGCATGTGCAACTCTCAACAGAGATGAGAAGAATTTGAGGCAGCTTTCTCCTTAGCTACTTTAGTAATCAGCTCCAGAAAAAAACAATGTGTTAAATTCTCTTTTACCACTCGCTTAACTGGGCAAGTGAATTGCTAGATTTACAAGCCTCACGTGGCATTTTACTTGCCATGGGCAATCCTTATTGTTTGGACCTGCTATGGTCATGATTCTTGTCATTCCTGTTTTCAAACATTCCTCTGATTACTAACCTGTCAATCTTTGAGACTGATTATCATTTATATTGTTTTGTGTGGTTAAACAGTTTTGTTCCATATCCATTTTCATATCTTAAGCATTTGTTTATGCTACATACTTGTCCCTATACAAATAAACAGTCAAATATAGCGTCAATAAAAGGGCTGCTAAACTATCAACTGTAAAGTTAATGTAAGGGATCTCACCTTACCATCACTTCATCGTGCATATCCAAAACTTGTTTCATTGTATTGTATGAGATGTTGGTCACTCACAGATTGATAGGTAACTGATAGTAGTGAAGAGTATGTACGTGCTAAGTGTAAGACACTGGATGCTGTTACTATTTATTAAGTAGGGATTTAGACTGGGAAGAGATCATTCCCCAGAGTAAGTTGTGACTTGTTCACGTTTAGTTAAATGCTTTTTATCCTTATAATCAAATTGAGTTAAACTCTGTGTATAAATGTCTGTCAGATATGCAGTGAATAGCAAAAACAAAGCTCTGCAGCTTTGGTTGGACCACACCTCAGTCTTTTCATCACAGCACTGCAACATAACCACTCTGGTTTTACAGGCTTTTATTTTCTGCCTCATTGCCCTTTGTTCAGTCACATACTTACTGTCTATTATCTGTACTGTCATTTACAACAGAAAGAGCATGTTCCACATTTAGTATGTATCTTTGAAGAGTAAGGCTATATAAAATAACTATAATATAGAATTTAAATTGGGATTTAGAAAGTCCCAGTTCTCATCTAACATGTTAAGAATGCTTAAGAATACTTTGACTGGTCCCTCAATAGGGAACTGTCCTGCAAATGAAGGTCAGAAGCAGTCTCACCATGACAAAAAAAGATCAAAACAATTCCTGAATAGTCCCTTGAGGCTCTACCTGTGTCGTCTGCAAGAGAGATGTTAGTGAACGTTCCATCATCCTCATCCACCTCCGCCTCCATGGCCTGAGTCTCTTTTGCTTCCTCCAGCTTGGTTTCCTTTTTGTTTTTAACTCACACAATCATTCATTGGCGTCTGAGCTTTCCAGCATTTGACACTTTCTCTCTTTGTTTAAACGTATTTTCTCTTACTCGCTTCTTGTCCTTTGGCCCTGCCTCCACACACACACACACCTGCTGCCTGAATCATTCACATCGTCACGGTTACCTGCCCTACCTGACTGGCAGCTCAGGTTACAGAGGTGTCATGGGAATGGATCGCCATGGCGACCACTGGACCAAAACATGAGACAGTCTTCCCAGGGGTCAAAGTTTGAGTCTGCTCACGTGAGAGGGAGTCATAAAGACACACACACACACACACACACACACACACACACACACACACACATAAACACAGGAGTGGAAGCACACATTTGGTCACACATTAACCTGAAAGTAAGTGTTAATGAGGGCCTGTAAATACAGTGAGATTTATGTCTTGTCTTCTGTTTTTTTATCTATTTTGCTAAAAAACTAGAACATCACAAATCTGCAGAGCTGTAACACACATGACAGTGTGAATCAGTCATTATTTCCCCCTAATTAAACAATGTCTCACTGCAGTGTTGACCTAAAATGATGGGAGAGGACATGAATGGAAAACCAGTTTCTTTAGATCAGTGGGAGCAGCCTGCACTCTGGTGGTTAGTGTTGAACACTGCAGGTCAGCGACAAGAGACTCCATGTTCCTTCTGAGAGCAGCCTGCAGTGACGGTGCAGATTACACACAAATACAGAAATAAAGAAGACCAGAGGTTTTCACTGTCTCCAGCTTTATGTTAAAGCTAAAGCACTGATATTACACAGCATGATTATTAAATATATTTTAGCAAGTAAAAAAATGTTTTAAACATGTTTATGGGTACTCAGGTTAGATATCTTCACTGTTATATGCAACAATTGTAGGAAAAACAAATCCTTAGCTGTACCATAAAAAAAGGCCTACAGCAGTGGAAAGGTCCAGTGCTGTTTTTGGAAAAAGAAGTTTGACCAAACAACAACAAACAAACAGAAATAGCTCAAGCTCCATTTACTTGCTTTTCTGGAGCTTTCAACAAGATCTTGTGGTCTTCACTCTGTTGTCATGGAGACGGTTCAACTGTCACCACATCTGGAACTTCTGTGATAACTGAGCAAACTCCATGCTGTAAGGAAGACCATGAGATCTGGTTGAAATCTCCAGAAACAGCCAGTAAGTGGATCCTAAGTTGAGTTTAGAGTTTCCTGTCATATCACATAAACTCAGTACTGACAGCATGATGTTGCAGTTATTTGGGGAAAAAATCCTTTCAGTCTTTAAAGCAGTATTAAGATTTGGGATTTTTGGGGGATTTAGCGCCCCAAGCTTGAGAGTGAAATTCACTAATAAACTGCTGTCGTAAATATGGATAGCTGTACACGTGCGTTTGTTCTATGATTACATCACTTACAATCTTAATTATTAATTATTAATATATTAATACAAAGTATCCCGTAGGTGTAAAAACCTACTTGACAATAAACCTGATTCTGATTCTGATTCTGCTATTTTAGCAAAGTCGACAACTTTGCTAAAATAGCATCAAGTGTTACAATACAAGACATAGCAAGCCAGCCAATATTTTGCCATCGGAAGCGTTCCGGTTTCCGCTTGTAGTCCGAGTAGCATTGACCAATCACGTTTGAGCGGGCACTGGTTGCATGCAGTTAAACAGTCTGTGTGGAGAGCAACAGAGGTGGAACACATTGACAGAAATGAAATCTCAGAACCCATCAGCTATTGTCTGACAATGACGATTTAGCTTTTTACTAGCTTTTTTTATTTATCTACATTCATATGCAGATGTTAATAGAGATTAGCCTCGCTGTCATTTTAATGTAAAATAGTTATATAATGTTGCTTTAAGTTTTTTCTGTCACTGCTTGGTTACTTGTTTGACCATTGTTACTATAAGGCCATTCACTGAATAATAGTGATGAATGACTGGAGAAGACAAATGCTGCTTAAAGATTTTGCGCTAATAATAGTGGGAAGGACTGGAAATACTATGTAATATTATAACATAATAATACAAACAAGAGAAGGACTCTCTAGAAGGCAAGTCAAATTGGGTGTTTAAGTCTAGCCAACAGACAATAACTACTTCCATCCCCTGTGCAGATAGTATGAATTATAGCAGCATGTGGTTTTGTTGTCTGACAGTCAATGTGTTTGCATCAGCATTTTTATTATAGTTTCCTGTATTTGTGTTGAGATATGTTCCTGCTTACACGCTTCGTGCATATATGCTCTTTTCTGCTTGCATAACCATAACTGAGTATGTTTTGTGTGTTTGTGTGTGTTTGTGTTTTCATACGTGGGTCTGGATTCACCTGCCCTGTAAAGCCGGGAAGAAACTGACATTTATGGGACCATTTCATTTCACAGGGAAGGGATACACTTGCTGATAATCCAAACATTACCTTCAAACTGCAGCCTGATCAGCTCTCTCTGAGCCCTGCTGCTGATCACAGATCAGTTTGATCACTCGCACAGTGTAAAGAACAACACTGCCAACAAATAAACTTAGCTGGACACACTAAAGCAGCCGTTTCACCCAGAACACTCGAAAACGTTCAAAGGCGAGCAGAGAACAAAGGTTCAAACTTTATAGGTTGGTGAAGGATGATGCTTCATCGTTTAGACTGAAGTTCTGAGGGAAAGAGAGATGTGTGTGTTTATTAGTCTAGTGTGTGTGTGTTTCTGTGTGTGTGTGCTTGTGATGGTTAGTGGTCAGTGTTAGATTCTAGCACCTGCGGTACTTCGCACCCTGGAGACAGTTTGACCCCTATTCAACCTGGAAGCAGTCCAATGAAACACACACACAACACACACACACACACACACACACACACACACACACACACACACACACACACACACACACACACACACCACAGATTGATTCTGACAGAAAATGAAGCCACTGAGAGTGTGTGACCTTTACTCTTTTCCCCAGTTTGTTTGTCTGTTTGTGTGTGTGTGTGTGTGTGTGTGTGTGTGTGTGTGTGTGTGTGTGTGTGTGTGTTTCTTTTTGTGTACTAAATGCACAACTGGTTGTAGTTCTTCCGTTCCTTTTCTTTGTGTATGTGTAGTTAATTATTACTGCGCAGTGACATCCGAGGACCAGACCAAGATCAGTAGCAGGATTAACTGCATCCATAACTTTAGAGAGAGAGGATGGTTTATATTGGTGTTATTGTTTTCTCTCCCTTCCTCTCCCTCTCTCTCTCTCTTCCTCCCTCTCTCTCTCTCACTCTCTCTCTCCCCTGTGATAGTCCACAGACCAGATGCCCACTTTGGCACCAACGCTCTGCCAGTGTTATGCTAGGCATGGGGCATACACATACAGCACGCAAAACACACACACACACACACACACACACACACACACACACACGCACACAAACACACACACACACACACACACACACACACACACACACACACACACACACACACACACACACAGGAAGGAGAAGAGGCTGTAAAAAGAGCACTCGTCCATCTGTCCATCTCCCGGCTACTCTGGTACTGAGCACATCAGCATGTCTGTGTCTCCCTACTGTGTGCTCAACATTGTGTGTGTGTGTGTGTGTGTGTGTGTGTGTGTGTGTGTGTGTGTGTGTGTGTGTGTGTGTGTGTGTGTGTGAGCATGTCTATGAATAAGTCCAGCAATTCAGAGTGGTAGCTAAATTCAGCCTATGGAAAAAAAGAGAGAAGTTGTTTCCTCTAGTTCCTGTTTGAACAATTCAGTGAACAATTTTCAGATGCAATAAAACTTCTTAAACATCTTAACCTTATAATTCTGTACTTTAAACCTGTAGCCATTGTCGCATTGTAGCTTGCGTAAAATGAACCACTAGTTAAAGACTCAGAATCCGAAATACTTCGGGAGGGGGGGTGGATATTGGGTCACATTACAGTTGCTGCCATCCACAAATATAAATATATATAAGCATAAAGAAATTATAAGCAAAATAGAAAAAAAAAAATGAAATATGTTAAACGTGTGTCATTCAGCAATATATAACATCAGGGTCAATAATTCTGAGAAACTGGATCTATAAATGTGTTTAAATGCAAGAATAGTATAAATAAGAAATTACTCAGTCTTCTGACTTTAGCATCTTTTCAGTCACTTATCTTCATCTCTACTCCCCCCAATTGCTGACTTGATCGCCATAGCAACATGAAAGTAACCTGGGAGACCTGGATGACTTTGGAAGCAGTGCTGGTCGCAGTGGAACAGAAGAGGACCCAAAGACTCACACTGGACTACATACTAACATATATACATGCATACATTATGCATTATGTAGCCTACTTTATACTGACATTTACATATACAGGATTTGTACACCTCCACAATGGAAAGCATGAACATGGTTCTTCAGGGGTTTTAAAAGAATGATTAATTATACATTCATTTTCTAATATTTATGCATTTATTAATTCATCCTATTCAAATTAATTTATTGGTTATTTCCAACTTCAGTTAACCAAATGTTTGCTGTAGGAATGCCCATCCAACCATCCATCCATCATCTGCTGGTCATTGGTCCAAACTGACAACCAGGAAGTGAGAACATCCAATGACTTTAAAGCAGAGGAACCATGTTGAGTAGATTGTAGAGGGGGGGTTTATTGTTTAAAGGAAAAGTCTTTTTACAGTACTCTAAACAACCTACATTGAAATAGCTATTATTGTTATTTAGTTTTTGAATGTCTTAAGATTATGAACCAACTTTGGTTCTCTGTAGGAGGAGCTTCCATTTTAAATAAAAAATAAAATAAAACATACAGCAAGCACAAGCACGCTGTGTAAATTAAATCTCTTGGTGAAGAAGATGTAGAAGTTAGAAGTTTTAATTGTGTATAATTGTAGCATGCACAATCACAGCTCTATGGGGAAGTTGAGATCTATTTTTTCAAGTTACACTGCAGTTCTGCTATTTCTGATAAGATACATGCAACATGGTTGAAAAGAGAAAATACAAAGGTTGATTTTGAGATTTTGTAAGATTGAGATATTTAAGAGTTCTTAGGAGATGGATGGAGAGTAATAAATGTATAATTTGGATATTGTTTATACCAGTCTTCATTGCTGTA